TATGTATGTATATATAGTTACGATGCCTCTTCTGCAGGGTAACTAGCTAATATCCTGAATCTTCACATCGAAAATAAAAATGCAGGAAAAGACACTAATCTTGCAGGCCAATTTGTTAGAATAGATCTAGTCTGCGAAACAAGTTTTTGAATGCACATTTCATTGTGTCTTTTCCATTTCAGAAGATACAAACATCTCTTCATATGTCAGAAAATGGAAAATGCTTAACAATTAAATAAAGTACTGCAATCAGCTTTAGCCACCTAAGAGAAAGCAGATTGGACACCCCAAAAGCATTACCCCACCAGGCATGAATGTGAGGGCTTCATAACTATGAAATGAAAGGGGGAAAAAAACAGGTTTGGGAACCCCGCCCATCACAGCAATATGAATTTCTTCCTTTAGGAGTTAATCTTCAAAAGCAGAGCTACGCTTAAAGGTGAATCTTAGTTACATTTCTAAACTAAAATGATATAAAAACAGTCAAATTTTCTCTAGGAAACTTGGAAAATAAAATTAAACAAAAAATAGTTTTGTTTTGTTTTTTTTTACTATATATTAAGTGCTTATGATTAACAGAAAAGACAACAAATAGAACACGAGACAGGTTCTCAAAACTGTTTAACCTGGAATAAGCATTTGGCTACCTGGGAATAAAAGATTCAACCCCCAAATCTGAAGAACAATAATCATGCTCTATGCCTGCTTCTCCGTTCTGCCCACAACAAGATGCAACTTGCACAATTTTCTTTGGAAAGACGCTTGTGAGTTCTTTCAAGTGCAGTACTGGTGTGATGCTAATGACAGTTTCTGCTTCTAAATTCACAAAGGCATTTCAAAAACATGCCAGGGCACCAGGCATTTAAAATAAAAATTGCTTGGAGGATTTGGTGTTCTGATTATAAAATAGGCTATCCCAGTGTTTATGGAAAGATGTGCGAGGTTTTAATCTTTCTTAAAAAAAATTGTGTTTTGTTTTATTTAGGAAAAAAATCGAAGTACACTTGCTCTTAGGAAGATGAAGGTGTGTGCCTTTTAGTCCCTGAAGATGGCTATTTCGTAATTAGCTCTCTATTGCCATCTACAGGCCAAGTGTCACATACCAGGTCTCTTTATTTTAGAACTAAGCTTCCCCAGTATCACAATTATATGCACGCTGATTAGTATGGATTTGTTCAATTAGATTGAAATGCTCTATTTGCATGAGCAAAACGCAAAAGAATAACTTTAAAGCATTAGGAAAATTATCAGTAAAAATAATAAACAGCATTAAATGAGGAAAAATAAATTGGAACTGACATCTTAGTCATCGGTTCTTCATCAAGCTGAGCAAATCTAATAATGCCTCTCTCTCCTCCCTCAGCTCTCAAAAAGTCCACCGTTAAAATGTCATCTCTAATCCATTTTATGTCTATAAATTGCATTTTAATAACCTTTTGTTTCCCTTTCTCTGCTTTTTTTTTTTTAAGTCCCCCAACCACTGGGAAAGGCAGCAGAGGGCAGTGGCAGCAGGCGGCAGCTCCAGGGCAGCAATGGCTTCCCTCTAATCACCCGGATTGACCTAACGTCAGCACACCTCTCCCCCTTCCAGGAGGGTGTGCGATCCCTGTGAACTTCCAGCTGGTAATTACTCTCCTAGCCCAACTCGAGGCCCTCTTTCAACCTTAATGTGGAGTTATCATTTGTCCTTTCTTTGGTCTTAATAATATAAGGGGTAGGAAGCAGAGAACAAAACAAAACAAAAAAAATGACAACATGAACAAAAAATACTCGGGTTCAGAACCATGAATGCATGTTAAACTACACTCATGTCATAAATTACGCCTGTGAATAGACACTGTCGGTTATGACAGCACACTGTTTTTTCTTTTGTCATTCTAAGATTGAAAGAATGTCATAGATTTCTTTGTGATCTCCAGCAGGTGATTAGGTTTCTAACTAAGGACAGGGAAGTACTGGTTAAAGACTAATGATTTTTCACTTTTTTTTTTTTTTTTT